TTATTAGGTTGTAACTAGAACTCTAGTTTTTGAAATTGCATCCCTTTATTCTTTTTGTTTGTATTATTTTATTTCTTCTGAGGGAGGGAGAGAGAAGAGAGCAGAGTCCCGATACTACTGTCTGCTCACAGCTGGGATGGCTCCCAGGCACGTGTGTAAGTCCGGCATGTATGGGGATACATCTGGATGTGGACCCAGTACCTCCCCATGGGGGTCTAGCATCACAGAGGGTTTCGTTACTGCTGCGCCTCCCTACCCAGCCCAATATCCTTCTATTTTTATTTTTGTAGGTTTTTGCCATAGGGCACGTGTGCTCACTGGAGAGTCAGAAAGAGGGAAAATGAGAAATCACCCTCTGGTGGGGATGGCCACATGGTAATCCCGTTTCTTCCATTCTCCTCTTGGGATTTTAGGCACACGCGCACACACACCTGGCAGGATTTTCAAGCCACCGGGTCTAGGACTTGAACTGTGGTCGGCCATGGGCCATGTGGGAATCCAGTGTTTTAACCACGGTGCCACCTGCTGGGCCTCTCTATTTTTAATACTTCATTTCTCCAGACCCATCACCAATATATCTTTGCTAATGAGTTTTTCACTTACTACAGCACTTAAAAATCTTGCAAAATATGAAGAATGTCAAGAAGTCCATGCGAGTGTTGTTAGAGAATTACTCTAAATCCACAGAGCCAATGACGAAGGAAGATCTAGATGTGATAGGCACATGAGCTTTTGATAAGGAAAATAACAGAAAGTGGAAGGCAACAATAACAGAATAATTTGAACATCACAGGATTACTAGAAGCATTTGGGACCACCGATGAACCTGGAATATTTTTAGAAAATCTTTGTAAATCAAAGATAAAACATAAGGAAGCTACATTATGTTTTTATATATCTTGTTATGCTGGGAATATACCAACACTTGATAATTTTTGTATGTCTCTCTCTGCTCAGTCAGGAAAAAGCTCGGGCTCTTTGGGCTCAAAGGTAGGGTTTCATTTGCATCCTTGGATGTGAAGATCCACTTCCTGCCTGGAGTCGCATCTGAAAACCAAAACCTTTTCCTTGGTGCAGCTTCCTGTGTAACATTAAACATCCCCCCAGCAACCCTGACTCAGGAACATCTTAAGTTATGGAGCTTCCTAGACCCTTGGCTACAGGAGCACATTGCAAAGTCTCTGAATGTTGGAGCACAGGCGGATTCCCAGACATCTCAGATTATCTCTGGACGGGCAGAGAGAAATTGGTTCCAGCTCTTTCTCATACATCCTTGAAAAGGGGAAATGGGTATTTCTATCACTGCAGAATCCTATGGGGGTCACCCGGTTGGAACACCGGGTATCTCTCATCCCATAGACTGCTATTGTTCTGATCCAGAGAGCTGCTGGAGACTGGCAGTTAAAGAACTCCAAAGGGTAAGAAGTTTAGGTCCCACAAACCAAATTAAAAAAAAAAAAAGTTTTTAGAAGTAAGCAAACAGACAATAAGTTTACGAACCCTCTAACAACATTTTTTTCTAGATTCAAAAGTAATGATGTAAAAAGCAATTTATTTAATTTAAAAAGTCTCAGTTGCATTAATAGTTGCAAAATATTTAAAAAAAAACTCAAAATTTTAGTGTTAAAATGACATTTAGAGACAAATTTGGCTCAAGTCACTATTTTTCAATTACAAGAAAGTGTTTGACCTATTAACATTAAAATAGTATGTTTTGAATATTAAAAAATCATGCTGATTATAGAAAATTTAGAATAACAGAATAAAGAAGAAACAGTATTCATAATTTCATATAAATTCCTGGAGTTGGATATCTACTAGTAAAAAACAAAGTATCTGGCTGTAAATAATGCATTGGGTTTTGCTTTTTTTGCTTGACCTTGAATTCAGTTCAATATCATGGATTTTTTTTTCCCTGAGAGATTTTTTGCTATAGGACCTGTGCACTTGCCAGAGAAACAGAAAGAGAGACAGAAAGCAAGAAATCTCCCTCCAGGGGGATGGACACACCTTCACTCCTTTCCCTGTTCTCCTCTTGGGATTTTGGACACGCACCCAGCTTGAGTTTCAAGCCTCGGGGTCCAGGACTTGAACCGTGGCTGGCCATGTGGAAGTCCAGCACCTTATGCCACCTGCTGGCCCCACAACATCATTTTTAATGGCTGCCCAGTATTACTTTATGGGTCTATCATAATTTACCTAACTAATGTTTTATTGTTGGACATAACATTGTTTACGATTTCTTGCTTTGTAAACAATGCTGAAACTCAACTGTGGCAGAGACATCCTGCAGGAAGAAGGGGATTGTTGGGTGGTCTAGATTTTGCCTGAAAGGCTAAGAGAATCAACTGTCACCTCAAAGACAGTGGGATTTGTCATATGGCGTCTTGACTCAGGAGTCTCTTGGAACCAGGGCATTCAAGGACTGTAGGTCTTTCTGGCCCAGAGCCACTGCAGGACACTGAGGCGTGGGGCCCGGGTGTAGAGAAGGACCATGAAGTTCACTGTGACCCTCACAAGCCCCAGATTCTGCTGCCAGGGATAGCTACTCCCTTGAGATGAGAGTCAGTGCCAGAAGGCTGCTGGAAGACTCAGGTACCTCGTCATCCGGGGAAGTCAGGGAACTAGGTCCCTGATTATTCCAGTCAAGGCCTGTCACCCAGGAGGACCCTCAGAGCCTCCCTGTGGACTAAGCGGGGATGGTAGGGAGCGGCACTCAGGGATGCCGGCCAGGACTGAGCTGTGGACACAGCGCGCCCTCTAGTGGTCATTTCTCCAGAATCAGCGCAACTGCCGTGAACGGGGCTTTTGTGGCCCAATCTCCAGCTTGGATCTCCAATATGGAGAAACCACCTGCAGATCCACGTTTTCCTGGGAGCTAGGAAGCCAGAATGGAGAGTTCTAACCCCATTTTTGCCTATAACTTGCTGTGTGGCTCTGGCCACCTGGCACCCCTTCCTGAGTCTCGCCTTGGCCCTATGTGAAATGCCACTGAGTTTGTGCTTTGTCTTGACATCTGCTGAAATCTCACAACTCAGAGGCGTGCCCTTTGCCCTCGTCAGGATCATTCCTCCTACTTCAGGTCCCACGTGAGGACTGGGGGTGGGGGGGGTAACAGACACTGTCTGGAGGCAAGTTGGGACCTGGGAGCCTTCTTGGAGAAGAGGGTAGTGAGCAATCTCACGAGCTCCAGGGTTTGGACAACTGTGGACTCAGGGAGTGGGCCCTGGAGACAGGTGGAAAAAACAAGTTCAGAAGCCGCCCTAGGTCCAGCCTCGGCGGTGCAGGCGGTACTGTGCTGAACTGCACTGGTTCAGATCACTCGGTGCCCAGAAAACACACCAGGAGTGTGTGCCCAAGATGCTGATGAGCTGGAGGGGGGTGGGCATGCTGAGATCCTGTACCCCGTCAGGGGTGCTTGTCCCTCATGTCGTCCCATGCATATGTGTGCTCTCGTGTACTCTCTTCCATGAATCAAACTAAACCTGAAAACCAATCCCAGGGGATGCCACCAGCAAAAATGGCAGAGCAAGGAGCTCTCTTCCTCCACACGAGCAAGGAGAGTATTGGCAAAACTGCTCAAACTCAACTTGTTCAGAACTCTGGAAATTAACCCAAAACTTTGAACACTCTGGGGAGTGTCCACTCAAGAAAAAGAGCTATGTTTTGGTAAGAACAGTGAGTTCCGTAATGTTTTTCTTTTTGAGAGGTTTTTGCCATAGGGTGTGTGCACTCGCCAGAAAGAGAGAGACAGAGAGACAGAAAGCGAGAAATCACCCCCCAGGGGGGATGGCCACGCCGCAATCCCTTCTCCTCCATTCTCCTCTCGGGATCTTGGGCACACACGCACACGCGCCTGGCGTGAGTTTAAGCCACCGGGTCCAGGACTCGAACTGCAGTTGACTACATGGGAGTCCAGCGACATAGCCAAGCTTTGTAATGTTTTAACTCACCCTCGTCTTATCCCCTTTCCCCACGCTGTGGTAGCCTTGACATCCAGTAGGTCTGCAATTGCAGCGAACACTGTGATGGCTATGATGCTGGACGGAAAGGACAGAGCTGGCGCTCCTCCCAAGTCCAGCTCCCAAACAACATCATTACTTGATTTCTCTGGTGGTTTCCTGGAAGACCCCACTTAGAAAGCTACATTTATTAATATTTTACCTGACTTGGAGCTCACTAGATGCAAACAGCCTTTTTCCTGGTGAGGGGCATTTGTTGAAAATCATCAGTGGCAATAGTTTAACATTGCAGCTGCCGGAGGCATAGTAACAGCTGGGGCCAACTGGAAGCTGGACACTCTTTTCTTCTTCTTCTTCTACTTCTTCTTCTTCTTTTTTAGAGAGAGATTTTTGCTATAGGACTTATGTGCTCACTAGAGAGACATAGAGACAGAAAGCGAGAAATCACCCCCCAGGGGGGATGGCCACACCATAATCCATTCTACTCCACTCTCCTCTCAGGATTTTGGGCATGCATGCACACACACGCAGCGTGAGTTTTCAGTTGCTTGTCTGGGACTCGAACTGTGGTTGACTACGTGGGAGTCCAGCGATATAACCATTACACCATCTGCTGGCTCCTGCCTGGACACACATTTTAAAAGGGGAAGCTGGGAAATGAGTAATATAGAGAAGGCTTGAAAAGCTCTGGCATATTCCTAGCCATCTCAAAGGCCACATATGTGTGTAAGGCCACGCAACCACCAGGAAAGACCCTTGCTCTTTATTTGAGAAATGCAACACTGTTGCAAGCCCACTTCAGAGCCCCGGGGAAGGAGGGCTGGAGCTTGTCCAGGAGAGGACACTGAAGTAGGTGGTACTGCTAGTCTTCACCTCTTCGATCCCTCTTCTGGGGTTGATATCTCGAGAACCCTGAATACAAATGTCCCTTTACCCCTGGGATCCTCTGATATTGACAATGGCAGGTGTGTGTGTGTGTGTGTGTGTGTGTGTGTGTATGTGTATTTCATACGAGCTCTTTCAGCTCTTACAATGGAAGAATTCCAATAGTTTTCTTTATTTAGGTATAAAAAAAATACAGTACGTGTCATGCACCATCGTGGCCAATATATAGTCATTATCTGTAGAGCAATTACTATAGTGACAGGAAACAGGTGACAGGAATTGTTTATCCAGTAAAGAACCAGAATTAAAATGGTTAACCTAAAGAGCAACCTGGTTATTATGCAAAAATCCTTATTCTATATGTCGTGAGAGCTAGAAACTTGTAAGTATTATTAGTAAAAAAAAAAATTATGAAAAACTAGTTATTTAGCTAAAAATATGTCAGTTGTATCTACAATCCCCTGCAGGGCCAGCAGCCTTGCCCAGAGAGAGAACCTCTGTCCCACGATGGAGGGTGAGCTGGAACATCGCCTCCTTCCCTGCCGCTCGCTGTTGACTGACACCACTTCCCCAAGCGGGTTTGCAGTGGAAGGTCCCACAGGAGGCTGAAGCGGGAGCTGCACCGATGACCACAGAGTTTGGGCAGGGTGGGGGCCTTGCCTTCTGCAGAGTGTGCCTGAGGGATGGATCCCTGAGATGTGGCAAGAGCGAGGTGTGAAGGCAAATGGCACGGCTCCGTCACGCAGTCACATTTGGGTTAGGGCGTTGGCCAGATTCACTGAGGGCCACATCTTGGGTGCCTCAAAATCAGGAGGTTAGGAGTAGACAGAGAGAAAGAAGAAAGAGCATGAAGGGTGACCAGGTGAGACGGAGACGGCGTGAGGTCTTCTGCTCCAGGACATGAATCCTCGGCACAGGCCAGACTGGAGGGGTGTGAAGGAGTGTGGACACACCAGGGTCTCAACGATGCCAGGCCCTCTCCAGAGGGGGTGAGGGAGAGGTGATCCTCCCGCTCTGACCCCCACACGTGGTCTCCCCCGTCCCTCCAGGATAAATTCACAGTTGCTTCTGAGTTCTACCAGCCCTTTCCCTGAATCTGGCAGAGTGGTTCGGCGCCCAGTGCAGCACAGTCACTGGTGTGGCAGAAGTCACCTCAGGACCCAAAGCCAGGAGCTGCCACCTGTGGCCCCTTTCTCCCTCTTGCGGGACTTGGGGAACGGCGGTGGGCGTGGGGGGCGTTGGGGAGGGGTGAGGGAGTGGAAGCAGGCCTGCTGGACAGTTGCAGCCTTCCTTGGGAGGCCGGTCTCACTGCAGTGGTCATGCCACCAGCCGCTTGTCCCCAGGTAGACAGCACCAGGACCTCTTCAGCATCCCCAGGGGGTGAGCACAGCCTTATAGTGACAGAGAAAGCCTCTGGGTGGCCCTTGTGGCCTGGGGCACAGGTGACGTGGAGCCCAGCTAGAGCTCTGCCTGGATTTCCAGGCACGACGGGGGCGACTGGCACTGAAGTAAGTTCCTGGATGTTTCCGGGACCTGGAGTTTGCAACCCCAGGGTCTCTGGGGGCCAAGGCAGGAGTGCTGGGCTAGAGTCAGTGCCATTTTTGGAGGGCTGGATGCCAGGTGTCCGACTGGCCTGGGCTGCTGCAGGCTTGGGCCCCAGGCCTGGAGGGCGGCAGCTCCCTAATACACCAGGTCCTCCCGCAGGTCCGAGCCGTACAGCTCCGCCAGCATCTTGAACCTGGGCCCCCAGTCGCTGAGGAAGTCGTAATCCACATCGGAGTCGGAAGAATTGGTGCCCAGCGAGCTGAGGGACTCGGCGATCGACTCGGAGCCCTCGTAGCCGTAGATGTGCAGCGTGTCGTAGGGGGGGCCGCCGCCGTCGTGGTCCGCCTCGTCCTTCTTCACCTCGATCATAGCGGCCC